GTCATTCCTCCCCCACAGACCGTCTTCTGTGGTTGTTTCTCCTGGACTTTAATCCTCCTTACAAACAGGATTGTTTCTCAACACGGTTCCCATTATAGAGCTAAGAGAAAGAACAAGGGAGGTCAGGATATTGAGATGGAAAGGAAGGAGGGAGATTTGTTCGGCTCACATCTACAGTGCATTGAGCGTTAAGTAGTGAGTCCATGCTGCGGGTGCCTTAAACCCGCCTAGGGAAATGGATTGATTTGGCCCCTTCAATACAAAACTCTACCATTTAAGCTGTTATTGGAAGCTGATGAGTTCTCACAGAAAACTAAAGTCTCTGAAAATCACCTTCGATGACAAAAGGTACAATGGACTCAACGTGACTGCATCGATTTTTTCTGGTAATGGGGTTTCTGCAAATGCCACACAATTAAGCATACTATTTCCACAAAGGTAGAAAGTAGATTCAGGGTATTATTTTCGGATGAAAGCCTTTTGTTGATAGCTCACTCACAAATGAAGTCTCTTGATGGGAATGCTGCTGTTTCACAGTTCCTTTGCTGCATCTTCTTCTGATTGTTGAAAGTGCAGTCCAATGAATTTGAAGTTTGACTGAGACATTGGACACGCAGTTTTGAAATTATAGAGCACTTTTCAAAAAGGATTACATTTAAAACACACAGTATTGTTCTCTAAATCACCTTATCTGCACTGACATCAATTAAGTAACCTTGCTAAGATGGTTAGATGTGGAGTTTTGATCAAAGTGCACGCTCTGAATGTGCAAAACCACATTGCATCATATCACACAAGGTTGTAAAATACAACTTTAAAATGTCAACATTACTTAGCTAGCTAATGTAAGCTAGCTGTACTATAATATACCAGTTCTAAAGGAAACATCAAGGAAAAAAGATTATTGTTATAATTAGGGCCGGGACTTTAACGCGTTAATTAAGATTAATTAATTACACAAAAATTAACGCGTTAAAAAAATTAACGCATTTTAATCGCACTTATTTTTGCACCGCGGAACGTTTCTCACTGGATGAGTTTCAGGGGTACCGATTATACTGGAGCACCAACTAACGTTCATTACTTCAGACAACAACAAACCACAGTGAACAATAGTCAAACGTGAACGAAGAAGCTGATGAGACCGCTTTGGTTGGCCCCGTGGATGGGACATTTTGTTTTAAAAAACGGACGGAGGGAAGAGTCGATAAGAGCACGGTTGTTTGCAAATTATGCAAAAAGGAATTCGCATATCAACGCAGCACATCAAGCCTCAAGTATCACCTCAATGCAAAACATATAGCAGCTAGCGTAGAAGCTAGCGTGGACGTTAGCCCGACTCGGAATACAAGGACCCACACCCAATTCGCGTTGATCAAACAGTGGCCTATGCAACAGAGAGATTTTATTTTTCATCAGGATATTGAAAGAATATTATTTTATTTTAAATGGTACACTTTATGTTGAACTATTTATTTGACGTTGTTTGGGCAACTGGCACTTTATGTTGAACTGTTTTATTGTTTTGGCCAAGGTTATTGAGGAGTTGGACTGAAATTGAATTAGATTTTTTAAATTCAATTGTTGGTAAATCAACAAAGTCTGTTATGGCCTCTGAAGCAACAGAGAGATGTTTTCTAATTTAGTAGGGTTTCCAATGTTCGAACCTGTACTTGAAGTACTTGTGTTATACTTCAAAGAACAAAGTGTTATAGATTTACAGAAGGTCTACCTACTATAGCTACCTGAATCTCTGAAATGTACTGTCTTCCTAAATATGCTATTGCTACACTTTATGGCAAAAAATTTCACTTTCTGTTGTCTTTTGTTAAAGATTAGACCTTGAAAAAATAAACAATGTTTTGTTCTTAAGCTTCATGTATTCATCATTATTCAATGGTATACTAAAATCCATGTGAAAAAAATTGCTCTCACTGTTCTCAGGTCCAAATATTTATATGCGATTAAAAATGCCGATTCTAATTGCGATTAATTAATTACAAAGCCTGGTAATTAATTAGATTATTTTTTTATCGGCGTCCCGGCCCTAGTTATAATTTTAGTATCATTTTGTTGAACAACATTAGCGTAGCTAGCTAACGTCAGCTATACGGTTAAAAAACTAAAAAGCATCATAGAGTTTATAGTCACGAGGTATTGCTGTTTCATACCTCACGTACATTAATATGCTACAGTTATATCACTATTGAGGCTGTTTAGTTTACCTTGTGGTATTGATGGAGGCTGTGTGGCTTATCTATTCAGACTAATGATGCTATGCTATCCTGTTATTGAATGAACCGTTCTCTATGAACTCCATTTATATTTTTCTCTCGCTTGGGGCTTGAGATTGTTGGACAGGAAAAGCTTAGGCCAGCTCTCCTCGCTTATGTACTCATTGAGCAGCCACAAGAACAAGCATTACACTCATTAAGACTGGTGTTTATGTCCATCTGATGAATTTAAGTCCAATATTTATTCTCCTTTCCCTCTTATCTTGGTCTTCCTAACTCCTGGGAAATATGTTTCAGCTGCTGTGATGCTCTACTTATTATTCATAAGTTTGACTCTTACATGCTGGTCTCCAGTACCAAGGTCATTTGAGTTTTCTACGAAAAGCGCGTATTTCACGTATCATGTATTATATTATTATTATTTATTAATTATTAATTAATTCTGTAATATTAGTGAGATTTAACAAAGTGCCTTGATTTTAACGTCTCAAGCTGTGTGTAAATGATAAGGGAACATTTAATCAAGTCAGAATATAAACTCTAAACAACTGCCATGTTCCAATATGTTCGTCCAGGATTAGAGACGGGTCATCAGGACTTTCCTCGTCGATCCTAGCAGAACGCGTTTTCAGTAAAGGCATTAGACTGTTACTCAACCCACTCACTTTAACATTCAGACATCCAAACCCCATGTCCTGCTCGCGATTGGGATGAGGTAATCCAGTCTGACCGTATCGCCCCATCTCTGATGACGGGAGGGAAATTGAATTGTCTTTCCACTCACTGCGCTCCCCCTCCCTCTCCGTCTCTCTCTATCATTGATGGTTCTCTCTTTCACTTCAAACTTCCTTTTGTGCCTGTGAGCCACAAAAGCCTCCTTACCCCCCCCCCCCCCCTTCCTTTAACAAAACATCTTTGTAGTTTTAGGGATTGTTTTCTTTGTGTTATTGTTAGCTGCCGTAATCTCCTTTTTAAAAAATGTCGCAGGAAAAATATTACATTTAGACAAATCGATGCTGAGTCCACACTGAAGAAACCTATGTTATTAAAGACCTCCATACACAACACTCATGAAAACTTTTTAATTTATGGTCAGTACTCACTGTAGGATAAAACATCCACACAGTTCAATCCCACTCCAAATCTCTTGGATAGAGAACACGAAGAGGAACGCAGAAAATCCCAAATATCCTCTCCTCCTCAAGGGTTAAGAATAACATCCAGTGTAATATAGATTTGTGAACAAAAAAAAAAAAGTTCCAAAACCAAACAACTGTGACAATCATCTGGCTTGTGTTTACTGCTTTCCTAATGAGCGCACTTTGAGGGATCCAGGCAGCAAGAGCAAAACTAGGTGGCGCCAAATAACCAAAATCAGTACAAGAGTCTATCAAACAAACATCCAATCCTCCATCAACACCACATACTGCACATCATGTCTTGTACTTATACATGATCTCTAGCTAATAACTGTGTTACTCAGAAGCCCTCAGATCGACTGTCCGAGCTTACAACTAGGAATTAAATTAAATTTTTTCTCATTTTCAGGTCAGTCGTATGAGATGATTATGAAAGTGAAACTCAATAATGTATTCTGGTTTTTTAGCCTATATAGTGTCTTTCCAACACTTTTAGTTCATTAAATGTAGGATGCTTTTTTAAATGCTCGATTTCATTTCTCGCGCCCACATACATGTCATACCATACATTTTTTGGGGCTGGATAGTGTCTATGCCCACAGTGGGACAACACAACGACAATTTGTACATAACTGCCGTGTTGTTCTGACCCCTGATGCCCCCCTGATCCGAACACCCACGCACATGAACCAACATTCTGACAGCACCACGCACCCAATCTCACACTAACTCATAGACACACACACAAGCTAATGACGTACCTCGATTCCTAAGAACACTTTCACTCACACATCATATAACAAGGGCAGCAACACACACATATCCACTGAACTCAAAATGCACTTACATATGATTAGTCTATTACTACACCACTACCACATCAACAACTATGTC